CACGCACGCACACACACACAAACAAACACACACACAAACACGCACACACACACACACATACGCGCGCATACATACACACACACGCGCGCGCGCGCACGCACGCACACACGCACGCACACACACACAAACACAAACACACCCATACGCGCGCACACACACGCACAAACACACACGTACTAATTGACGTAAAATTTTTCAGCGCTTTCGTGATGCTTTCAGCCTAATAAGAGCACAATAAAGCCTCAGCCCATAATGAACCTATGGATTTCCCCTCCGCCACAATCTCACAAGCTAACGTGGGAAAAGATCACATGAAATGAGTCGAGTATCGATTACCAATGTTTAGTTTACGGCGGTCACAATACCAGAAATAAACGAGCTGAAAATGGTACATGTACTCATTAGTAAATCTATAAACATTAAAGGAAACCCCTGCACAATACAAAAACCGTTACTTATAACTTGAGAGAGAAAGAGAGAGGGAGCACCGGGGTGATTTCAATATTTTAAATAACTAATAAAACCGAAGGAAGGACAACGACCTTTGTATTTAACCACCAATTAGTATCACGGAAAATATTACCGTAAAAAAGCGAGCCATTTAAATTTTGATATTTTGTAAAAAAAGAATCAATAAAAATTGCGATGCGGGAACAGTTCAGTACGCTGATCACACACGCGAATCTCCTAATATTAAAATGATGTAATTATCCCTGAAGAAAAAGGGAGAATTTATTACAACTTTTAAAATCGGCTGATGCGTTTAAAGTGCCTCGAATAATAGGCCCAAAATATTTTACTCGTGTAAGTGTTTCACGTCTTCGCGCCCGCATACAAGCGCACTGCGAGTATCAAACGCGTGAAGATAGAAAATATAAAAATCGGTCCATTCCTAGATTAATTCCGGATTAATTTAGCATATATGCGAACTATATATTATACTAGGTACCCTATATACATCATTACATGGGTCCCGAACTAGGATTGAGCAGAAAAATCGGTGTATATCGTGTACGCGGAGCGACAAACACGAGAAAACATATATACGTGGGATTAAAATCCCCCAATATGTGAATTAAATCCTCGACATGGCGAAACGTCGTCTGCCGTTTAAACGCCGTCAGGATAATTACGGTGGCAGCCGACAGTGCACCTGCCGATTCCAAGCTAACCTTGTTGCAGTTGACGTACGTAGTATATACTGTACGACGACGCTGCCTGGACCACCTGCCCGCTACGGACCGTAACGTACCGCCGAGCGTTGTTGCTGTACGGACCCGTACAGCCGTAACGGTATTATTATACACGCAGAACGATCGCAAAAGTTCGTTGGATATCACACGCGCAATAACGCAAAATATAAAAATATTATTATTATGAAATGAATGTACGTTAGACTAAGAGAAACCAGTAAGGTTCGAACGATTAGTAGAGAGAGAGAGTGAAATATATATATCGTAACGAAAGTTGGTTTACCTGAAACGTCTGCCGAAAATGTACACAGCAACGCTCCAATCGCCAGGACCAGAAACGTCATTTTCTGGAGCGTCATTCTGAACGATCCGCTGCTATATACTTGTCCACACCATAGAGACGTATCCTTTTTCCGAAATATGCACAGTTTGGATCGATAAAGTTCGAGAATATATCCACAAACGTTCACGTAAAACACACCGTCCCGACACCGATCCGCTCGCCTCTATATCGTTACACTCGAATCAACACAAAAGTTCTGCCAGCGGACGCCCGGCGTGTGTATTCATGCGCGCACCTAGTTCCGGTTGTGTCAGCGGCAAAAAGAAAGTCCCACGCGGAATATTGTTGAAATAACAAAACACTCTGGGGAAGTTTCTCTGCCGATTTGAAAGCACGCTGATGCTAATCGAAGTGGTTTTGTTACTTTATTTTGTGTTTCATTATAGCACTATCTTTCTTCAATTAACGCGGGAGTACTCAGGTAAGGACGTGATCCGATAAGAATCATTTTCCAGGCACTCTCCAGAAATATCACAGTTGTAAAATAAACACACACAATGCAAACACTTGCGTTAAAGGTACCTAGATCTACAATATCGCGTGGAAAACAATATTATATGCTGCTTATTTTAATCACTCGATCAACCAAACGAAGTAATTATCATTGTTGAACTTAGAGGGCGCCACGATTCAGTACACAAATCCAAAATGGTGCGTAAACTCAAGTTCCACGAGAAGAAACTTCTTAAAAAGGTTGATTTTATATCGTGGGAAGTAGATAATAACTTACACGAAGTATCGGTGATGAGAAAATATCATGTACAGAAGAGGGAGGATTACACAGCGTAAGTTACCACGCAAACTTGTCTTGTATCACCAAAGTAGAGAAGTTGCCAAATGAAATGGCACTCGTCGTAGGGCCTGGCTATTGCATGCATTCATTGATGATTGCAGACGGGCGCACGTGTTTGAGTGGGCCGGCCTGGCCATATGAGTGTTACACGCTGCAGGAGCCTTCCTGACACCCTGCACTACAAATAACTTTGCAGCTTAAAAACGAACTCGTAACGAACGAATTTCGTAATTATTTTGTCAATTAATACAAATTTGTCATCAGTATCACTATCACCACATTTCATGCTGCAAATAAGCATATACAAATAGATACTCACTCGCCACACACTGCTGAGCTGGTATTTACTATGGCATTTCTCCTATAATTTGAAAATTTAGGAAGGAGCTATTTTTCAAAGTTGGCAAGCTCCATTATCCATGTGTGTATTACTATTACTGTGCATGCGCAATAACTATGTCACGTGAGACTGTCACCAATACAATGCACGAAATTCATTCAGAATTCAAACGGAAATCGTTGTCTTGTTCGAGTTTCTCCCTTACCAAATCTCAAATATGCTTGCTGTCACGTGAATGCTAAAAAAAGGCTAACTACCTGGCTGTACCCAAGCTAGGTCACAGACACCATGGCTAGCTATAGCCCTGGACGTTTATTCCTTATGGACTGTCCAGTATAGAAGTAGAAGTAGAAGTAGAAATACATGGTTAACAATGATGCGGAAGTACAGAGAAGTGGTCAAAGCTATCATAAGTTAGATATTGATACGGTTTGTTGCAATGCTTTGTTAGCTACAAAATTTAATTGCTTTATTTGCTTGTGATGTTCTCACCTCGTAGTGAGAAGCGAGAAGGTAACTTGTGGCTAGTGTATATGTTACAATTGTACGTCTTGTAAATCACCACGACTTCAGAATATAAATGGCAAACTTGAGATGAGGTTTTAACGAGTCGTATTGTGTCTGTATTCAAAGTTATGTACAGAGACTCCCCGATTTACGAACATTCGAGTTACGAACTTTCGATGATACGAACAATTTGCCCTGAAGTCGATTAGTGTATAATGTCAATATTGGTGAATAAAAAGACACAATCCCCCCCTGATTTTGACTTTTGCCAACTCCTGTGTTCACGTATATATGCACTATGTAGACTTTTAGGTTACTCGATGTTCACACGTACATACAGGGTTTCTTCTGAGGGAAAAGTAGACAACGGCGGTAATGGCCAGTTTGGGGAAAAAACGCGCATGATGGATTCAAAGGCGTGCAGTTACGTAGGCACGAATGTGGGTAGGGGTTCTGGCTGGGGCGACATTGATTGAAGTACGGGGGGGGGGGGGCGAATGCACTGATTGTTGTTACAGTCACGTGGGCATGCTTATTGCTGTATATATGTAGGTGTGGGAAAACTTTACCGGAATCGAGGAAAAAGCTGCAATCGGGAATGACACCGGAGTGTGCCGGCACGCAAAAAGAAACATTGCTGTGAATTTCATTACGATTTTCCATGTATATAGTCAGAAGTACGTGGGGATCTATTTATTTTTGGATTGACACTATTTTGACAACAGCGGGTAAATACAGGAACATTTTCACAACGGCGTTGTTAAATTTGACAACGGCGGTGCGCCGCAGTGCCTCCTATGTAAAAGAAACCCTGACATATACTACACCACTGTACAATACTGTATACGTACGTACATATGTATACCGCTCGGAACCGAACATGTTTGTAAGTCGGGGAGTCTCTGTATCAGTAACAAATGATCATACACATCTGACAAATCACATCTATTCTTGCTAGTTCTGCACTTTGTAAAGAGTCTGTTTGAAATATTGAAATAAAATAACTACTCTTTTAAAACTATGGTTTTAAGATCCACGGAGGCATTTATCAACCTGGGCATTATTATTAGGCTATAACGTGTCAATGGGGACACCAACCTATTTAACTAATGGCAATGATATGCCATGCGATGCTATTGTGTTGCACCAATTGATGTCTCTCCTCCGGTAGTGTGCTACCCATATATTGCATTAAGAATTGCAGTGTGAGATTGTCCGTGTGTTGTGACTAATTATCCGTTGGTTGCTCCGGTGCGAGGTTGCCGCATAAATCATACCGACACTCGTGTTGATGAGTGAGTCGGATGTTTTATCAACGCGCGCGATAAACAGGTGCTACGCACACGTTTTTACCTGCGATTTCTTGCCGGGGAAACTCTCACGCCTGAGAGAAGGTTCCCCCGCGTGAAATGGGAAATATTTTCTTGGAATTAATAACTTCCACCGCGAGAGAAGCGGCGCGGCATAGGCATGTGTAGCAGCTTCCTTATCAGCTCGCGTTGTGCGGTGTCGACTTCTCTAGCATCATTCATCCTCCACGATAGATCTACTTAATGCGATTTGACTCTACCTGACCCAGCTGTCACAATTAAGATCCATTTACGGTGCCGATTTACCGGTAACACCGAAACGGTGCGTGATTATGATACTGTGATCTAAAGATGTTATGAACTTAGGATACGACTCTCAAATGTTGACATACAAATGCTCGTGCTGTGCCTTTAATTGGTTGGTATATGTTCGTTCTGAAATGCAGTAATCTTACTTGTCATCAAATGAGGCTAAAAACAGGTTTCCACTCATGCCAAGGTGCTGTCTAAGCAGTATGGTAGCTGTAGGGATAGCGTGGTGCATGTCTGTATTTCTGTTTGCGTGTATGCATATATGTGAATAACCTTGTTCATTACAATGAATCAAAACTTGCAGACCCGCCGTCAAAGCGATTTAATTGCAGCATTCACTTGTCGGCGTGGATTGTGTCAGGAATACCTCAACTATTGTGCTGATGATAATAATAGTGAAACTTCCTTAGAATACCTGCTTTTTTTGCATGAAACTGCATGTATTTTTATTTACTGGGTGTTGTTTTGGCCTGCAACCATATCAAACAAGTGCGGGTGCTTGTAGGGAACTGCATAGTGCATTCTATTGAAAAGAAAATGATTTAAGGAGAAAAGTGGAAATGTAGTGAAATTGCGTTAAAGCCGCACTATGCGCATCTACACGCTAATTTCTCCAGTACTAGACTAGCAAATACTTTGTGTCATGCAGAATCATACTACCTTATGACAAAATAAACTCTAGTTCCTCCCCTTTCACTGCGCGTTGTCTTATAAAAGGCATTTTAAAATACCTCCAATGTTGATCAAATTCTCCGATGTTGTTGATAGTTTCGCGTTGCTCTCCCAAGCAACCGTGCAGTGGTGCTGCGGTACAGCGGTACGGGTGTAGCAAAGATAAAAACATGTAACGTCACTTTACTGCTTCGAGGCTAAATTGTTTGGCAAACAAGTCGGCGTTGGCGCCAGATTACCAGATTTTGCACCTCTTTCTTGTGGGTTTTAAGCAAACGCACAGTGAAATGGGAGGAACTAGAGTTTATTTTGCCATAAGGTAGTGTGATTATGCATGACACAAAGTATTTGCTAGTCTAGTACTGGAGAAACTAGTGTTTGGATGCGCATAGTGCGGCTTTAAGAATGTATCACGTTAAAAGCCTATTTTCATGCGATACGTAACTAACACCGAACTATCTCAGGGTTTCTTCTGAGGGAAAATTAGACAAAGGAGGTAATGGCCAGTTTGGGAAAAAATGCGCATGATGGATTCAAATACAGGATGTATTGATATATATAGGTATATAGATACAGGATATACTTATCAGTAATTACAGGAACATTTTCACAGCGGTGCGCCGCAGTGCCTCGTATGTAGAAGAAACCCTGCATCTGTTTTAACTGATAGGTGTATTCAGTAACCTCGGCAAAGCGTACAAACCATTTGATGTGTTTCGGCATGCAGAAGGAGGATGGATGTCTGCACTAAATATGTTTACTCTGCAAATTATTTTACCGATGTATCGACGCGATCGTACGAAATTTCGAAAGCCGGTCTTGAAACGCGTGCAGCCGGCTGGTCGTGAAACCGCGCGGTTATTTCGGCATCGCGAAATACGCGCGATGCATCGACCTCTCGTCGTCACGACGACACTTTCGTGAGTCATCGACGACGTTCCGCGGCGCGTCTCGTGCGGGGGCGGATCGCGTCGGATAATTCACGCTGTCGGCAATTTCGCGCACGCACGCAGCGTTTTTATTCGTGTCTCTGTTTTTGCAGTTATAACAAGCTGTCACGGGAGATCAGAGAGCTGGCGAGGCGGGTCAGGGATCGTGATCAGAAAGATCCGTTCCGCGTTGAAACGACGGCGCAACTTCTCGACAAGCTGTGAGTAGACTGACGAGAGAGCCACCTGTAGGTGTTATCAGAGACTATTATAATGCTCCCGCTTAGCATGCTCTATTTACCCTTGTGTCTCGACTGCTTGCGCCCTTGAGGGAGCTTGCTAAATTAAGTCAGTGTTGCTCAATCGGACGAATGTGGTTAGAGGATGCTATAGTCAACTTTGGTGTTTTGCAGACAATGCAGTTCGCTACTAATTGCTGCGGTAATGGGCCTGGTGAGGTCCTGCAGAGATAATCTCCCTCATTGCCTGGGAACCTGTTATGGAATGGAGAGGGGCATTGTCTAGCACTCACGCACATTTCCTTACTGTGCTGTCCGCCCAAGCATGCCTGGTCATGCTATGTCCTGTTGCTATGAGTATCTTAGTGGGTGGTCACCCCCTCCCCCCTACTAACAGTTATTTGGGAGGCGTTCTCGTGTGAGCACGGGTCTGGTGACGGCAAGGTATCTTATGTAATGCCAACTTTAATTGGTAACAACCTGACTGAGTGTGTTTGCAGACTTAATTACAATATATATACGCACGTATATATATATGATATATATATGTACTATACAGGGGGTAGGATA